AAAAAAAAAAAAAGCAAGGCTGAGGGGATGCAGGACAGAAGAGAAGAAAGTGAGGAGAGGGGCTGTGGGGCCAGCCAGCCAGGGCTGCCCATTTGGGGTAGCATGAGCCACAGGGTGCTGTCTAACCAACTCCTATCTTACAGGGTGACAAGGGGCCCCCTGGGAAAGCTGGGCCTCCGGTGAGTGCTTTTTTTCTCTTTGACCTTTGACCTTTCTAGTTCTTGCCCTCCTCTGGCTAATATTTGCCCCGCCTCTGTTGTTAAGGGACCTAAGGGAGAACCTGGCAAAGCGGGGCCAGATGGGCCGGACGGGAAGCCTGGGATTGATGTGAGTACCTGAGTGTCTGGTAAAGCCAGTTGGGGCTCCACTCACTGACTTCCAGAGTCCAATTCTGGCATCTTCTCTCTCTTCTGTTCAGAGCAGGGCAGCAAGGTGGAGACTATAGCTATGAGTTCCCTTCACCTCCATATGACTTGTGACCCCACAGCCACCCCAGGAGCGTGAATCACAGGCACATGGGGGTCCAAACAGGGGTTCTGTTCATCTGTAGCAGCCAGGATTTAGTCTCACATTTCCAGCCTCCAAGTAGCAGATTGAACACTGTGCATGGAGCTGTCCTTTCCTTCCCTATTCCCTTCCCTACTACCCCCTCGCGGCCCCAGGAGCAATGCAGGAGAGGAACATTATTCGTCGATACCACAGAATTCCCAGGAGCCCCAAGGTCACAGGCTCCTGGACACAGCCAGAACCATTGAGACAGTCATCTGATTGAGGAATACACCTGGGTCAGTCACTAAAAGATGGGAGGAGAAAGAGGTCCCATGAGTTGCCTTTGCCCTGTTGGCTCAAGAGGGTCATCATGGCTATGAACAGCCACCAGGACCCCTCCAAATTTTCCACAACCTGCAAAGATTAAGAAGCACACTGCCTTCCACTGGCATATTGGTTCTCACATCCATCCAGAGAGGTAAACATGATTAACCCATTTTGGAGATGTGAACACTAAGGCTTGGAAAAAGTTGCCAAGGGCAGACAGACGTCAAGAAAATGGCCGTGCAGACCAAATCTTGGGGCCTTGGTTTCTCATCTTTCATAAAAGAGTAATCCTTCTGCCTTCCTGTCTCCCAGGGTTGCTGTGAGCACTGGGGGAGGGGAAAGCAGTGTTGCAGTCACTTGACCTTCATGGAGTGGGGTGGGAAGCAGCTGGGGCCTGCCCAGGAGAGACTTCAGGCCCTGCCCTCTCCTGTGGTTCAGGGAACAAGTTTGCCCTTCACTGATCTACCTTCTGTTTCTTCCCCAGGGTCTAACTGGAGCCAAGGGGGAGCCTGGCCCCATGGGGATCCCTGGAGTCAAGGTAAGTGGCCTGCTGGGGACTCAGCTTGGGCCATCCAAGGAAGGGGCTGTGGTAGAGAGGAGCAGAGACCTAGGAGACCCCAGCCTCTGAACCTCTCCCATTGCTCTTGCAGGGCCAGCCCGGCCTCCCAGGTCCCCCTGGCCTGCCAGTGAGTATAATAACCTGCAAGGGATTCAAGGGACCCTTTGTGGGTAGAGGGGGGGACTTGCAGAAGGAGCCATGAACCCAATTTCCTTTCCTTCTGTTCCAGGGCCCTGGCTTTGCTGGACCTCCTGTAAGTCCTTCTGGATGGGACAGGGTCCCTGGGACTCTTGGGGAAGGAGGATACAGAAGGATGGGCCATCAAGGGGAGGGGCCATCATCCTGTGATGGTGTCCAGAACAGGCAGACTTCCCGGAGAACTCTGGGCCAGCTCACTCTGGGCCTACCTGCTGCCTCTGGGATTCTATGGCCCTTAAAGCCCTAAGTTGTCAGTCTCTCTGGGCTTGGTTCCAAAGTAAAAGTGGAGAAGGGGCTTCTAGGTGCCTATCCCTACCTTGGTATCAGGGTGGGCTAAACCTCCAAGGCATCCTAGCCAGTGACAGCTTTCCTCCTAGGGACCACCTGGACCTGTTGGGCTCCCTGGTGAGATTGGAATCACAGGCCCCAAGGTAAGCCCCAACCACCCCTCTGCTCACTCTGCCTCCTGCCCTCTAACCTCCAAGCTGGCAAGCTGGAGTCTCTCCAGCAGCTCTTGGGCCTGCTTCTGGCCAGCAGGGAGCTCCTTCAGGTCTGGGGCAGAAGCCTCTCCCGCTGAGCCCACCTTGCTGTAGGTGGTTCAGGAAAGCCAAGGGCTGGGGCCACTCCCTGCAATTAGGCCTCTTATCTCCCCAAGATCTCAGATCTCAGAAGGTGACCTGGAGGACAGGGTGGACAGGACAGTATCGGGGACTGGAGGAGGGGGCAGAGTGACCCTGGAAGAGCCGGACAGGAGTATGATCTTGGCCCATCTTGTTTCCAGGGGGATCCTGGACCAGAGGGGCCACCAGGGCCCCCGGGGCCACCTGGCAAACCGGTAAGTGTCCCCAGACTTCCCGCATGGGGAAGGATGAGGGTCTTTGGCACAAGCCTGAGGTGGGAAAGGCTCAGGTCAGGCTTCATCTCCATATATCTGCTCTCAGGGCCGCCCAGGAACCATCCAGGGTCTGGAAGGCAGTGCGGATTTCTTGGTGAGAGGAGGCCCTGGGGCGGGTCTAATGTGGGGAAGGGGTGGGTCGGCTTTGGAGGTAGAGTCAGTGGGATGGCGAGGGGCTGCCCCACGGAGGTTCAGCCAAGTGGGGTGAGAGGAGGGTCTGGGAGTTGGCAAGACAGGGCAGGCCGGTGACCACAGAACCTGGCGGGATTTTCTTTCCAGTGTCCAACCAACTGTCCGGCGGGTGTGAAAGGCCCCCCAGGGCTGCAGGGAGTGAAGGTGAGCTACTGGCCCAAGTCCTTGGAGGGCAGAGCAGGTGGTTGGGAGGCGACCTCACACTGAGTTCCCTCCTTCCCTTCAGGGGCATCCTGGCAAACGCGGGGTTCTGGGAGATTCTGGCCGCCAGGGGAGGCCCGTGAGTATGAGGAACAGAGGGCTACAGAGGTGTGTGTGAAGAGGGTCTTACAGGGACCGCCCCTTCTTCATCCCTTCTCCTTCCCCTGTGGGTCTCTGGGCACTGAGCTGAGAAGCAAGAGGCCTATATTCCAGGTCAGCATGTCTCTGGACAAGTACCTTCTCTTTGCTGGGCCTCCCTTTTCCCACGGGTTCTAGGGTCCTTCCTGTCTGCTTTTTCTGGGAAAGGGACGGTATCTTTGGATGTCTGTATGTTTTTCTCTCGATCTGCCTGCCTGTCTGATCACTCATTCCTGCCCCACAGGGTCCCAAGGGAGACGTGGGTGCCTCTGGAGAGCAAGGCATCCCTGGACCACCGGTAAGGAATGCTCCTCCCGGGACCCCCCTCTCCTCATCCTAAGGGATCTTAGTGGCGCCATTCCCTTGCTCTGGCCTTTAACCTGTAAAAGAAACACCTGTGTCCAGTTGGCACGTCTCTGGGTGGAGAGAGGGAGGCTGTCAGAAATTGAGGGACAGGCACCAAAGCTGTCAGCCAGAAGACTCAGTTGAGGCCCAGGTTTTGCCTCTGTCCCCTTGAGTGACCCTGGTGAGTCCCTCCCCATCTCTGAGCTTCAGTGTCCCCTCTCTGAGATAGGGACTATGCTGCCTGCCTCAGAGGAGCCTTGAAATCGCCATTGCTGTCATTCTTGTGTCTTGACAGGGTCCCCAGGGCATCAGGGGCTACCCAGGCATGGAGGGACCCAAAGGAGAGACGGTAAGTCGGGGGTGTCCTGCAATAGCTGTCATGAACAGCCCCCTGGCCTCTGGGGTCCAGCCAGAACTGACTGTACCTCTTTTCTCTCCCCAGGGTCCTCGTGGGTACAAAGGCATGGTGGGCTCCATTGGTGCTGCTGGGTCACCAGTAAGTGTCCTCTTGCTCCTGCACACATACCTCCTCCAGGCTGGAGCTCCTGGAGCTGCAAAGGGAGTGGGGCCCCCTGAGCCCATGTGATCTGGATGCCTGTTTGTCCTTCTTGCCAGGGTGAGGAAGGTCCACGGGGGCCGCCAGGCCGAGCCGGGGAGAAGGGCGATGTGGTGAGTCCTCAGCCACCCTTTGTCCAGCCAGGGTCCCTGGAGAGTACTGGGGGGGGGCCACCCAAGGCTCGTGTGCAAGTGTGTGTGTGTGTGTGTGTGTGTGTGTGCATTACTCTGGTGTCTATACGAGTGTGTGTGTGTGTGTGTGTGTGTTACTCTTTCCATGCGGATGCATGGTTGTGTGTGCGTGCGTCACTCTGTGTTTGTATGGGTACACACGAATGTGTTGCTTTGTGTGTGTCTTTGCAGGTGCGCGTGTGTGTGTTACTCTGAGTGTCTATGCGAATGCATGGGGGTGTGTGCGTGAGTTACTCTGCGTCTGTACTTTGTGTGTCTGCAAGTGCGTGCATGTGTGTGTGCGTTACCCTGTGTGTCTGTGCAGGTGAGTGATCCGTGCGGGGCAGGAGCCTCTGTGCTGGGAGCCCAGGCACCCCACCAGCCCCCACTCCTGCAAGCCCAGCCTGTGCTGATCACATTCAATTTGGGAGAAGGCATAGGATCCAGTCCCACGCTCGCTGTGGCCAGACAATGAAATTCCAGCAAATCAGCCATGGGGCTAATGGGATTTGGTCTATATCCCAGTTCTCTTAACTTTTTAAAAAAATTAATAGACTTTCTTTTGAGCAGTTCTGAGTTTATAGAAAAACTGAGCAGTAACTAAACTTTCTTAAAAGTTTTTTATGTTAAGTTTTTAAACACATATAAAAGTAGAGAGAATTATATGCTGAATTTCTATATACCTGTCTCCCCAAATTGACACTTTGCCCTATTCAATCCACCACTTTGTTGCTGATATTTTATATTCTTCCTTTTTAAAAAAAAAATATTATTTACTTTGGGGGGGGGGAGAGAGAGAGATAGCTCTAGTCGGGGAGGGGCAGAGAGAGGCGGAGAGAGAGAGAATCCCAAGCAGGCTTCATGCTCAGAGCAGAGCCTGACACGGGGCTCGATCCCATGAACTGTGAGATCATGACCTGAGCCAAAACCAAGAACCGGGCACCCAACTGACTGAGCCACCCAGGTGCCCCTGTTGTTGATATTTTCAAGCAAATCTTTGCCTCAACATCATGTCATTTCACTCCTAAATACTTCTGTCTGTATATCTTGAAAATAAGGGCTTTTTCTCACATATCATTCACTTTCATACCAACAAGATTATCAATTATTCCTTAATATCAGCAAATATCAGTTATTCCTTAATATCAGTCTATGTTCAGTGTTTCCCAATTGTCTCAAAAATGTCTCTTCAGGGTTCTTGTTCAAATCAAGACCCAAAGTCCACACACTGTATTTGATTGTGTTCCTTCATATAAGTGGAGCTCAGAGCCCAGGTGAGGTCTCAGTGAGTGCTGGTTCCTATCCCTGCACTTGCCCAGCCCAGCCCAGCCCAGTCCCATCAGCTTGGCGCTGACCTCTACTCCCTCCCCTCTGGGCCTCAGGCCCCTCTTCTCCAGCCCCTGCACAATGTGGCCTGTGGCAAGAGGGACCCTGAGAGCTGGAGGTCCCTGTTCTCAGTGCTCCCCTCTCTGATCAGCCCGGCAGGGGTTCAGCATCTCGAAGGTGACCTCATTTCTATCTACTTTGCAGGGCAGCCAAGGTGTTCGAGGACCCCAGGGAATAACAGGCCCGAAGGGAGCAACCGTAAGTGGCCCAGGCTTACCCAGACAGAGAGCGGGGTCAACTCTGTCCAAGCTTCAGAGGACGAGGAGCCTGAGATTCTGGATTGAGCTCTGTTGCTGGCGGGTTGGCTCTGTGACCTTGGGAGAGGCCCTCTTTCTGTGCCTTAGTTCTTTCACCTGTAAATGGGGTGGTGATGTAGCAGAGGTTTGGGGAAGCTTGCAGCAATCTGGGACACTTGTCATCCACTGAGGAAGGACTGTGGCCCATCACCCCAAATGCTCTTCCCATTTCTGCCCCCCCCCCCACCGAGTTGGCTGGTGGGGGTTCCTGAGATAACCAGACCCACTTCCTACCTACGCACTGACTGCAGCTGTCACAGAGGGACATGGGTGGGTGGCCTGACCCCAGGCATCTCCCCACTTTCCTTCTGAGCAGGGCCCCCCAGGCATCGACGGCAAGGATGGGACCCCAGGCACACCTGGCATGAAGGTATGAGTGGGGATTGCCGGTAGAGTTGGGGAGTGGTCAGGGTTCCTCCCAGCTCAGGCCCTGAGTCTCATCACACTGATCCTGGAGGCGTAGGAGCCTGGGATCCTCAAGTGCGCCACTGATGCATCCCTGCTTGCCTCTGGGCCTCAGTTTCCTTACTTGCACGGGGGCAGAAGCCATGGATCCTCTAGCTGGACCTTTCACTTGTGCCTCTGGTTCTCTGTCTCTCCCAGGGCAGTGCAGGACAGGCGGGGCGGCCAGGAAACCAAGGCCACCAGGGCCTAGCGGTGAGTACGGGGTGGAGTCCCAGGGGCGGCCCCAGGGGCAAATTGCTTCTCCTGCTCAGTGTTGCCCACTTCCCCATGGTGGCATGAGTGGTTGATGAGGTGGAAATCCACACACCCAGGGATCTTGCTCTAGTCCTTGTCCCCACCCAGCCCAGACCTCATCACCACCTCTGTGGCCCCTGGCCTGGATTAGGCCTCATCATTTGGACAGTTGCTCTAGCCTTCTCTTTGATCATTCCAATTCTCCATGTTGGTTATTTCCCACTAAGGCACTTTTCATGGCCCTCACTGCCTCCAGGAAAGTCATTCCATCCAGTCATTCAAGACATGGTTACTGAGTCCCCAGGGTGCACTGAGAGGCAGAGAAAATTGTGAACAGGACAGCTGCAAGGCTTGTCCTCACAGCTCATTTTAGCATTCAAGGCCACCATAATCTGACCCCACCATACCCTTCCATCCTCACCAGCCACGGCCCCTCCGTGTCCTCTCCTTTCTCAGGGAACCCTGCCTTGCCTCTTCTACCCCTACACCTTCAGGCCTTTGCAGGTGCTTCTGCTTGGAATGCCCTTCCCTACCTCTCTGTGCCTTCTCACCATTCAGGGCCACCTCCATCGCACACCTTCTGGAAGCCCAGTCCATGGGACGCCCCCTGCCTCCCTGCTGGAGGTGCTGAGGCCAAAGCCTGATAACATGCCTGTGTGCAGATTGTGTTCCTGTAGTCATTTACATGTGCCTGTGAACACAGGGTGCTTCTCTTCTCCCCATAGACTATAGGCCCCTCTGTACCCCCGTCCTCTCCCACCAGGGCTCAGGGTACAGTCAACTCTGTGATGCCATGGCTGGGCCTTCTGTTGTTCAGCTCCCACAAGCCAGGGCTGAGGAAGGGAGGGGATCTGAAATGGGGATAGGAGGTAAAGCAGGAGGTGCCTGGGGCTCCCCAGTGCCAGGATAGAAACTGATGTCATCTTCTTTCTCCAGGGTGTGCCGGGCCAGCCTGGGACAAAAGGAGGCCCTGGAGACAAGGTAAGGTGACCTCAAGCTGAGGACAGGATTGGCTTCATCTGAGCAAGGGGGCCTGGGGGGCAGGGTCCAGGGGCATGGCTAAAAGACCCTAAGGCCCAGGCCTCAACCCCGGCTCAACAACAGTGCCTAAGCACCTCCTTCCTGCCGCTCCCCTCAGCCCTCTGTGGACACAGGATGGCATGGCTCCCAACCAGAGGAGAAACAAACAGGAAAATAAATGGACTCCAAAAGACCTGACCAAGAACACCTTTTCCCCAACTCATTTGGTTCTAGATTCTGTTTAGGGTTCATCAGGCTTCTGCAAGATCAAGAGCTTGACTAGACCCCCCAGACTGACCTGAAAACTGTTTTCCTGCAGGGGGAGCCAGGCCAGCAGGGCCTCCCTGGATTCTCTGGTCCTCCTGGGAAGGAGGTAAGTGTCCCTTCCCTGACACAGGGCTCTTGCATTAGTCCCCCTCCCAGGTCTGAAGACCCTGCACTCAGCATATGCAGCCTGGGTGAGAGTGTGGGGTGAAGCCCTAGTTTAGGGGGACCTGAATGGCATTCTGGGCTATGCCACTGACTCACTGACCCAGGGAGACACCCCTCTTCCACTCTGGGTCCTTGTTTCTCTATGTACAGTGTGGTGATGGCGGGATTGGTTCTGTTCTATACGGGTATGACATCCTCAGATGGCCAAGTTGACTGGGGCTAAGAATCCAGCAGAGTCATTCATTCATTCATTCATTCATTCATTCATTCATTCATTCCATAAACATTCACCAAATACCTGCAACTGTGTTAGATGCTGAGATAGTCTCATACTCGGGGTTTACAGTTTAGTGGAAAAGGCAGATATTAAATAAATGATCACATGATGACTGACTACAACTATGTGGGGTCCTACTGAAGGAAAAGGACAGGGACCCAAAGAACAGGGGATAAATGATGAAGTGAATTAGCTGAGACGCAGGGAGGGTAGGGGTTAGCCAGCTGTGGAAGGGAGGGATGCACCAGGCCCATTGCCTCACTCCCAGTTTCTGTCCCCCAGGGAGAGCCAGGACCTCAAGGAGAAATCGGACCCCGAGGCATCATGGGGCAGAAGGTAAGTGCCTGGCACAGTGGTCCCTCCCTGGGGGCCTTTGCAGCAGCTGGCACCACTGGACCCAGGATCTGGGTCCTATCCACGGCTCCAGCACCTGCCTAGTCCTGCCCAGCCTTGTGAGGCCTTCCCGGCAAGGGCCCCAGTTTGCTGGTCTGTAAAGTGGAGCAAAGGACTCAGTGCTGGTGTGGAGGAATGGAGGGCATCCTGACCAGCAGGGCCTGGGGTCTGGAGGGGGCGACCG